GCAGTGTCTGTATAGTGCATGTAGTGCTGGATAAGTGCTGGGGGTGAGTCGATTACATTGAAGTCTGCTTATCCCCTGTAATGGTATTATTAGAATAATGTATGCCATAAAATAAAGCATAATGAGGTTAATGCTTTAGAGGCACCACTAGGGGCAGTGTACAGGATTCCTTAAACCATGTGCTTCTGGCAGTGACATCACATGCCTAACTACTTTGGAATACACTCAATAAAACCAGATGTAGGAAGGATTCACTCTCTCCCTCTCTCTTTTTCTCTGCCCTTGACTGCCTAAGAATGTAGCAGCTGACTGTTTAGCCCTAGCCCCAGAGGCTGGGGCCTGTGTAAGTTTGTTCATGTTTTGTATTGTACCATGTGATTCCATTGTAACATTTAGCAACTGTTATAGCCCTTTGTAAGGAATATGTTGTAGTTTTATATTTTATAATTATAGTAGTAAAATTACATTCTGCTAGCATTGTTTACTTGTTATAATAATTATATTAAATATACATTCAACATTGCAAAGTTTTTTGTATTTTCTATACACATATTCGACAATAATACCACAAACTATAAAAAATAAGAATGTTGTTACTTATTGCTTAATTATAATATATTAATTAAAAGATTAATATTTATATTTAAGTGACAGCCACAACATCCCCCCTCCCTGCCTCTTACCTGTTGGCTGGAAAGGGGGGACAGTGTGTAGGAAGGTGACAGTAAAGGGGGGCAGTGTGTAGGAAGGTGACACACATTCACTGACACACACACACACACAGATTAACTGACAGACACAGACACACACATTCTCTTACATACAATCACAAATTACTAATATTATTTTAATTGGCCCACCAAGCCTCCCTACCTTTGGGAGAGCTGGAGTGGATCTGTCCCTGGGGTCCAGTGGGGCTGCTGTGAGGCGGACGGCTGTGAGCACATCAGAGGCGGCGAGGGAGCTGTAATCTTCCTGCTTTGCTCTATCACAGGCCGTCTACTGATTCAGGGAGCTGGAATATGACGTCATATTCCGGCTCCCGACATCAGTAGACGGCGCTCAAGGGAGCAGAGCAGGAAGATTAGAGCACCCCTTCCACCTCTGATGTGCTCACAGCTGCCCGCCTACGGGGTCCATAAACTGCTTCCTCCATGACAGATGGAAGCCACACATGCACACGCTTACATTCACACAACACAGTTACAGTGACACACAGGTGGACAGTCACAAAGAAGCAGACAGTCACACACACAGCCAGCCACACACTCACACAGAGGTAGACAGTCACCCACATACACACAGTTACAGTCACACACAGAGGCAGATAGTCACACACACACAGTTACAGTCAAACACAGAGGCAGGCAGCCACACACATAGAGGCAGATAATCACAGACAGAGGCAGTCACACACAGGTACCGTCACACACACAGAGGCAGATAGTCACACACACACACACACACACAGTTACAGTCAAACACGTTCAGTTATAGTCAAACACACAATTACAGTCACACACCTTGTGGTAATAGCCTATAGTATTGTTCATCGCCCAAAATTCTATTGGCTTCCTTCATGTAGTCCTCTCTATGCCTCCCCACTTGTCTGCCCCCTTAATAATGATCTCTTGATTGCTCCTAAGATCTTTTGTGGCACAGGCCTCTGGTTGGCTGAGGTTGTTAGAGTGTCCCCTCATATGTTTAGCTTTATTGTCTGCATCCAACCTTTTAAAACCTTTTAAAACAAGATCATAAAAAATAGAGATGAAATGCCCTTTGTCTGACACAGGATAGTAGGTAGATGAAGGTTTTAAATCTGTTGGTACATTGGCATTAATTACCTCTAAGGCATCCATATTGGATTTCTCATCATCCTGGTCGTTCATGAGAGAAACCAGATTTTTCAGAATCATTCTATCTTGAGGATTATTGAGAAAACCTGGGCAGCCGACTGTTAGTATGTGTCTTTTAGCTGGTGGTACTATTAAATGTTATCTTTATCATATATAAGATTGTTTTACTCATTCACTCATTCCTCTATAGGAGCGCTCACAATATATTTGTTTTTTACTTATTACTTGTGTTTACTTTTAGTCACTCTGGTTTAGTGTGTAGCAGGCCATAGGTGTATTTCAGATAAATATAGATACTGTGTTACCTGTTTATTTTATTTTATACAACTGTTATGGACAGATGAATTAAAATAAAATGGCTATTTACTAATGTCTATTTATTCTCTGTTCACTATGTTAAAACTGGCTTCTAGAGTAAATATTCCCTTCCCCCCCTACAATGTGGTCAGCTGCTGTTTACTATGTAAATTCCTCACATCCTGCTAGCCTCCCCTCCCCCACTACCTTTGTGCCAGTTAACAGCTATATGCCATATATAGCTAAATGGAGGATCATTGGTTTAGAACTGATAGATACCACTCACTCCCCCTCCCATCGTGTATCCAAAAGTGTGTAATGATGACACTACATTCTGTAGGGGGGTTTAAACAAGAGCCCCCTTTCTCTGTTAACCAATTGGTGAATGTATACTGTATGTTTAAACTGTGACGTATTTTTGCTTTAAGAAGGAGCCCCCACTCCGGGGAATAAAGCATTCCTGGGTTTTTCACTGATCAGAAACTTTGTCTCCGGTGTGAATTACTTCTAGGGAAAGCGTGCACGCATTAATTAAACAATTTGGAAGGTGTAGATAGACAAATAATCAAAGTTTTCTTTGATCCAAAACAATTTGGTGGAGAATGCGGGCATTTAAGGGATACGTTACTAAGGCAGCCGTCAGATCCCAAGACAGGAGAGCAAAGGATTCCCAGAGATTGGAAACGGAGCCTGATCACCTCTGCATATGGTAAATGAGTTACTTACCTATATTTTCCTTTCTTTGGATTTCTCTTGTTCTCCGTGCCTTCACATTCGGCTTCCGGTGTTTAACGTCTTCAGACAGGTAATATATATATGCCCGAATGTCCCCTTTTATATAGAACCTGTCACTTGTCTATCTACAGCCTGAGTCCTGAGTGTGAGTTTTATGTGTGAAAGTGTCTGTTTGAGAATCTGTTTTACTACTTGCTTAATACTGTTATATAATGCTGCCAAGTGTGGTTAAGCACTTGCAGGTTTAGCCAAGTTCGGGTTTGGTGGAAAACCCCTGGCTCTATATTTATTTTAGCTAAGCTTCGGTAAAGAAGTTATTGCGAGACTCGGTCAAGAGTTTAAAAATAAATAAATAAAATAATTTAAAAAAATAAAAATAAAAAAAAAATAAATAAAAAAATATTTTAGCTAAGCTTTGGTAAAGAAGCTAGTGAGTGATGTTTTGGCCTCGTTTGGTAAAAAACCTGGCGGTTCCTTTGTTTTATTAAGACTCGGTCAAGAGTTTAAATAGCTAAGCTTTGGTAAAGGAGCGGTTTATGTGCTTGAGTGTTTCTGTGTGTGTGATTTGATTTATTATAAGCCGGCATTTATTTTAAGAACTTTGTGATTTAATTACATCTGTATTTTGTGCTTTTGTCTGTGTATGTCTTGTTGGGTACCATATATGTTAATTGTAATCTATACAATTTGTATCGTTACTCTCCTATTCTATCTTTTGTCCTAAGGAGAGCTGTGCTTAGGCAATCACATGGTTAAAAAACTTTGTGCTTGCAAGTCTTCCTCCCTCCTCCCCCCTCCTTCTTTGTTGCTTTCTCTTGCTCTGACTGCTATGAGTATTGGCTACAGGGGGGTGGGGTGAATGGGTGAAATGCTTGTAAACTCAGTGAGGAATGTGAGGGAAACAAGGTATATTTGCTGGACGAATAACCTAGTTAGGAACTTTGTGTAATCTTGTATATGTTGTTAAGCAAGAGGTTATTGGCATGTTGGAATAAGGAAAGTTAGATTTTGTTGGAACAAATGAATTGTGGAATTTATAAATGATATCGCAGAGAAAAAAGCACTTTGACAGAAGTAGCTTTGTTCTTGGATAACTTAAGGAGGGAAACCAAGAATGAAGGGGTTAAAACGACTTGTGGATTTAGGCAGAGGAAGAAGTGCAGATTTTACACACCTCCTTCTTCTTCTTCGTGGACTCAGTGTAAAAGAGTGATACAGACAGCTGAGCCCCTCCCAATTTGCTTAAATCAAATGCAGAATATAACTCATAAAGTTGTTTGCTTTTGGTGCAATAAACAACATTATTTAAGATCTTGCAGATATTTTATCCGAGATATCAAATCAAAAGCAAATGAGAAATTAAATTTGTTGATTGAAAATTTTGACAGAGAAAATACATGTGGAGATAAATCAATTAAAGCCTTTCCTTGTAAACTTATAATCAGACAAATAAAAGCAATTTTAGCTAAATCGAAATTAGGAGACAGACAAGCAATGCAGCGTAACACAGAAAGTTATAAGAATCAGATAACTTCAAGAGATATGATCAGTTTAGGGAATGAGCATGGATATGTCTGCCAACAGAGGTACACAGGCTGATTCCAGAATTAAGAACAGCCAAGAATAGAGTTCTATGTTAGTTTGTTTTAATGAAATGTTAGTCTGAACTGTTTTTTCATTGTTTTATATGTATTTTAAGAAAGTATTAGGTTAATTAATTAAAATAAAAATGTACATCAAGTTTGCAAATATGGCAGAATGAAATACACTAATGTAGCAGTGAGGAACATGCAATGTTATATTGGGTGTATGCGATTATACAGTAACTCCAATCATTTTACAGAAGAAAAAACAATAGATTTATTCTTTGTTGCTTCTGAGGTTGATTTAAAATCTTTGATTTAATTCATGAGAATGAGATTTTAATATCATGACTGATAATGGATTACTGTATATTGCAACGCCTGGACATACACATGGTTTGGATATACTGAAGACAAAAGGAATAATATATGGGAATGGATAAGGCTGATTTCCCCCTATCCACAGCCACGCCTACTCCTAAAGTAACATCGCGTACATCCTTACTATGCCCTTTTACTGTAGAATTTCCCGAATCCTAATGACCCATTCCACTACATGGTGTGACTTGTTTAAGCCTAAGATAAATTGGCTGATCAGGCTACCTGTATTAACAATGTCATCAACGATGAGTTAGCATCTGTGGAGAAGCATCACTTCAGGTTGTCCCAAATTTTCTTTTAACTTAAGTTTTAGTACATAGTAAGGCCCATGCCCAATAACTATATGCAGCCTTGTATAGCAGGCCACATGACATCTATTTGTACCAAGTAAGGCCTGCCTGACTCCTCATTCCTGTCTAACATTGTTGTCTCCTGCATAAGTGTAGATGGCTCTCCTTGGAGTAGCCTGTTAACTAAGCCTTGCTTTGTGGATACCTTCACCTGTCCAATTAATCTGCTAGGTGCAGATGTCCTTCCCCCACTTGCAGGCCCCTATCACCTTATTATTTATTTTGTTCCACACAGTGAAACCTGACCAAGAGGCAAGGGTCCTAGCTAGTTCCCCCAATACCTTTACCTGAATTATACAGGCCCCAAAGCCTGTCCAAGCTCTTACTATTCCCTAACAGGTTAAGGCTCTGGTGTCGAATGTTGCCCTGGTTACCTGAGACTTTCCATGCAATATCCCACCTCTCCTTGTGATGGACGAATTCTGTGCAGGATAATGTCACCCTGCAGGGATGATACTCTATTTACCTGGCCACTCTTCTGCCACTTCCCAAGGGGGGAAATGATAAGACACTGACTATTATTTTTTTAGCCTTTTTCTTATGATCTGTTCCGGATTTGCTGTCACTACAGTGGACCAAGTATCTCACCTCAACAATGTCTGCACAAGAAGCTGAGCTATAGACTCCCATCACACCATGCAAGATCTCTGAAGGAAGACTGAACTCAGAGGAAGCATGTGGCAGCTCTCTGGCTGACTAAGTTGTTCAAAAAGTTGTAAGTGCACTAAGGGAAGTGGACAGAAAAGTGTCTGCTGAAGAAACTCCCATATTCACCATGTAAGATCCTACCCACAGACATCAAGCTCCCGAAGGAATAACAAGCAAGCTACTGACCCTGGAAAGAAAGAAAAAACAAACAAACCACAAGCTGGAAACAGAAAGGGGCAACTCTTAAAGACAGGCTGTACTTCAACAATCTCAAGTTATACTTGCCCAAGAACATATACTCAGCAGTGGTCCAGTGGGCCTACGGAGCATCTGTCCAGAACCCTCATGAACTCTTTTGATCAATAAATACTCTGAAGTACCAGGAATTGCCTCTCTGACCAACAGTTACTGTAAATCTTGTGCCATTTGTGCCAAGGGCAACTCAAGAAGAATGGATGAAAGCCCCAAGCATCTAGCCAAACCTCATTATCTCTTCCAGAGGAGTCAAGTCGCCAGAATGCCAAAGAATGGCTGATTCAAATATGCACTAATTATAGCAGACATGTTTTCAGGATGGCCAGAGGCCTATCCAGCCACCAAAGTGATAACCAAGACCACATGCTGAGTAGTGCACCGTGAAAGATACAGAGATCACCCCGTGGGTTCATCATTCCAGAATCAAGCCTGCCTCTGCATCATGTGAAGTAACATTTGTTGATCTTGACAACCCTTTTTGAAACTCCATTCTTAGAGAACAAAGATACTTGTTGAAAATAAATAAATAAATATCAACAAGTGGGTGTTTTGATGGCCATAATAATGCCTGACCACCTGCCATCGATGGAAAGCTGAATACCCCAAAAGGGGACCTCGTGAAACTAAAAAGAGAAACAAACATACTCCTTACCCTGCAGCCCTCACGTCTGAGGTGCCATACGCACAGTCAAAGCTTCTTCAAGATCATCTGCTTATCTTGAGTTTGTGGTGATATTAATATTGAATGTTTAAATGATCTGAATCTGCCAGTACTAGGGTAGCATGAGACAAGATTTCTAAGAATAAGTAAATGTGCCCTAGCCTAGGTTATTATGTCCATACACATAACACATGACAATCCCCAAGGTACTCTTGACACACCTCATTCATGCTTCAGGACAAAAAGGAGTACCCCTATAAAGGGTGGTTTTACCCACACATATATATATATGTATATTAATGCCATAGGGGTGTCAAGGGGGGTACCAAATAATTTTAAGGTAAGAAACTAAGTTTGAATCTATTCTCCCAAGCATTACGGCTAATAAAATCTGAATTGGAAGGGAAGAGGTTTATACAATAAACAGGAGACCTTTTTCTTACAGGACATGTATGACTCAGCTGAATGGGTAGGTGCCACGCACATGACTGTTAATCCCCTCAAACCACACATTAGGACTTTAAAAGACATGGTAGTCATCCCATATTTGAGGATAAGAGGGCTGTAGAGACAGGTTTCTCTGACACTAACTTGTGACTTGAATGGATGAAATACAATGCTACTAAACATAACAAGTCTAACTGCTATGTCTGCAGAGGAGCGAGGCCTCACCCAGGTACAGTATCCCTGAACCTTCCTCCGGATATGAAGTATGCGTTTTAAGTCTCTACACTGTATTTAAACCTAAGCGGTCAGCATGCGAGTCATGGAAACTTAATACCCAATCATTACTAAAAATATTAACCCAGACGAAGGCATTACTATATAGCCCGGGAACTATACTTGTTATGGGATATATGGTGGGATAGGGCGGTTACAAACTATCTCTCAGATGACCTTCCAGAATAGAATAAGCTTGGAAATGATTTTAGCAGAAAAAGGGAGAGTATGTAAAATACTCCCAGACACCATGACATGCTGTACCTATATTCCAGATAATACAGGCCCTAATGGTAAGGTAACGTTGGCAATAGAAAAGTTAAAGAGTTTGTCCAATGAACTGAAACGAAATTCTGGGGCCACAGATCCATGGGAAAGATGGTTTGGATGGATGTCTGAATGGCAAGGTGCTCTGGCCCAAATAGGTGTTGCCATTTTAATAACGATAATCATCCTCGCTCTTCTTGTTTGTTGTGTGTTACCCTGTCTTAAGAAATGCCTACAAAAGACAGTTGATCAGACAATCGACCAGACCACCCCGACCTTCCTTCACCAAGAGATTGACGACATCGACCTTGATACACCACATACACCCTTACAGTCCCACCGCACTAAATCAACAGCTACTTCCTCTTAAGGACATTTAGGGATAGCGTCTGTCTCTACGGGCAGAAGTCTGCCGCGGGAGAAGTAGTGGACAAGCTGCTATGGGGTACCCGCGCAGTGAAGTGTTCGAGGCCTGTTCAGACAGATGTGCAAGATAGCCTTTTGTTATTTTTCTATAGGGACAGTATTAGAATGAGAGATAGTAGTTTTAGTAAAAATTGCCATTTTAAGGGGGGACTGTTATGGACAGATGAATTAAAATAAAATGGCTATTTACTAATGTCTATTTATTCTCTGTTCACTATGTTAAAACTGGCTTCTAGAGTAAATATTCCCTTCCCCCCCTACAATGTGGTCAGCTGCTGTTTACTATGTAAATTCCTCACATCCTGCTAGCCTCCCCTCCCCCACTACCTTTGTGCCAGTTAACAGCTATATGCCATATATAGCTAAATGGAGGATCATTGGTTTAGAACTGATAGATACCACTCACTCCCCCTCCCATCGTGTATCCAAAAGTGTGTAATGATGACACTACATTCTGTAGGGGGGTTTAAACAAGAGCCCCCTTTCTCTGTTAACCAATTGGTGAATGTATACTGTATGTTTAAACTGTGACGTATTTTTGCTTTAAGAAGGAGCCCCCACTCCGGGGAATAAAGCATTCCTGGGTTTTTCACTGATCAGAAACTTTGTCTCCGGTGTGAATTACTTCTAGGGAAAGCGTGCACGCATTAATTAAACAATTTGGAAGGTGTAGATAGACAAATAATCAAAGTTTTCTTTGATCCAAAACACAACCAACCAGACACATACTCTAAACCGATCATATTCCCCTATACACCCAGTCAGATAGTCCCATCTCATCTTCCAGTCATTCCCACTCACCCTTTCACATTCACACACTTGGCCACATACCATGTCACCTACCCCCACCCAACTTGAATGTATTGCCGCTTACTCATAATTACCATAAAGTTATACCCTAAACTAGTCACATTCAACCTTCCAATCACATACACCAAGCTTCATATATATGACAGGTTGGGGCGCGCTGAGGAAACTGACCTTGGGGCAGCAGAGAGTGTAAATCTGGCCCTGTGTGGAATGGTATCTCGTAAAGCTTATAAACATTCAAAAGCTAGAATTAAAAAAGGATTAGGATAATTTAACATTGCACTAACAATTTGCATAATGTTGTCTATAACTCATTAAATCAGCGTTTCATTTATTAAATATTCCTTCTTGTTTAACATTTGAATTGACACTATAAGATGTTTTCATATATTCCATATTAGAATTCTAAAATTGGAGAAATCTCATTGGACACCGAAAGAATGCTCTTGGTTATTTCACCACATTTAGAACTTTTGAAGTATAATTTTGAAATAATCTAAAAAAAAGCAGAGAATGCTAGAACTCAAGCGCAACAGCTTAGTCCTCACTCAGGTCTCAAAATGTTTTCGATCACTTGTGTTATTACAAAAAGAACCTATGCCATGCTCACTGGGCCGAGAGGGGCCCAAAATCATCGTCTGGAGTTGCTGTATCTCTCATGCTGAGAGAAGATGCCCGCATTTCTATTCTAGACTGCGCTTATGGGTGAGTTCAGTCTGATATGCAAATGGTATTGGTTCTTTTTGTGATGGCATAAGTCAGCAAAAACATTTTTGAGACCTGAGGGGGACTAACCAAAGGACAAGCTACTAAGTTTCTCTAACTTTTTCCCTGTTCTCAGGGTTCTCATAATCTCTGTTTTTGTTGCATTAAAAATAATCTCTCTTTCTGTGATACAGTATTTCTATTATCCCTTTCATATTCATGTCAAGCTATTGAAGATATGATCGTTTATTTTACATAATTACACATACTGTTTATTAACTTAATATAATGAGGGCCTTGTCAATGTTTCACTTCTACACAACTAATATTTGCTTTTCCAAGTGCTATCAACAGCCATTCTATCAAAATCGTTCTATTACTGCAAATAGTCATTCCCATATCAATGCTTATATACATATTTTTCCATGACCCAATTGCAATGTTTTCATTTTATTTGTTATATATATATATATATATATATATTTAGATATCTCAAGGTTCCTGTTAGTGACTTATACAATTTCCACTCCTCCCTGCCATGGTCACTGTACAGAGGATATGAATTAGTAATTCATTGTTGAGGGACATAGCAGACTTTCTCCAGCCACTAAAGCAATGGAGGATTATGAAACAAGCACAGAACATGATACTGGTATGTATTGTAATAATCTGCCTCTATCAAAAGGAGACAGAATAATTAGTTAATTTCCTTCTATTACAAGGGGTTCATTGCCACATTCTCCCGCTACGCGCGCAAAGAAAAAGCCATATTATATATCATCATAGATCTTTTGAACTCCCTGCTTGCTCATGGAGAGCAATCTAACACCCAGAGCCAGAGGTCCAGGCCCAGACAGGGGCTGCCTTTGTCGCCTAATGGGTAATCCGGCACTGTTCATTGGACAGTAGATAAAGTCACAATTGGCTTCCTTTAAATTCCTATAGTGTTAAAAACATAGGTAAATTTAGAAAACAAAATTGCTTTTTCAAAACGTCACATCTAAAACGAAATGGTT